TTAGGTGTATGTGGCTGGCGCTTTAGCCGCTTGAGCCACAGGCGCCAAGCCACACCTGGCTACTTTTTGGTTGCAGCCGTCATTGTTGTTTGGCGCCCGGGCTGGATTGAAACCCGCCACCTTAGGTGTATGTGGCTGGCGCCTTAGCCACTTGAGCCACAGGCGCCGAACCTAGATTACCTTCTTGAAACACTGTCTTCTCTTTGCTTTCATAACTCAGCACTCTACCAGTTTTCAGTTTGCCTCAGTCTCCTTTGCTGAATCCAAAGCTTCCCTTCACCTATAAATGTTGGGGCATGCCAAGGCTTTAACACTTAATCCCATAGGATATCTCATCCAGCTTTATACAATTCAATTCTATGCTAATGCCTTCAGAATTTCTAGCTGTAGCTCTGACCCCAGTTCCTGAACTACAGATTTACATATTCAAGTGCCTACTGGACATCTAATAACCAGTTCCAGACCTGAGACAGAGTGAGACCCTGTCTCTAAAAATAGCTGGGCAACTTTTCTTAAACTGATAGAGGCCATCTATAGCAAACCTGTAGCCAGTATCATATTGAATGGAGTATAATTGAAGACATTTCCACTGATATCAAGAACCAGGCAAGGTTGCTCATTGTCTCCACTGCTCTTTAACACTGTAATGGAAGTCTTAGCCATCACAATCAGCCAAGAAAAGGCGATCAAGGGTATCCAAGTAGGGTCAGAGGAGATCAAACTTTCACTCTTCACAGATGATATGATTTTATACCTGCAAAACCCCAGGGACTCAACTACAAAACTCTTAGAAGTGATTAAGGAATACAGTAGCGTCTCAGGATACAAAATCAATAATCACAAATCAGTAGCTTTTATATATACCAATAACAGTCAAGCTGAAAAAGCAGTAAAGGACTCTATTCCTTTTACAGTAGTGCCAAAAAAGATGAAATATTTGGGAATTTACCTAACAAAGGATGTGAAAGATCTTTATAAAGAGAATTATGAAACTCTGAGAAAAGAAATAGCTGGAGATGTTAAGAAATGGAAAAACATACCATGCTCATGGCTGGGAAGAATCAACATAATTAAAATGTCCATATTACCCAAAGCAATATACAAATGTAATGCAATCCCTATCAAAGCACTGCTGTCATACTTTAAAGATCTGAGAAAAAAAGTACTTAGTTTTATATGGAACCAGAAAAAACCTTGAATAGCCAAGACATTACTCACAAACAGAAACAAATCAGGAGGAATCATGCTACCAGACTTCAATGTATACTATAAATCTATAGTGATCAAAATAGCATGTTATTGACACACAAATAGAGAGGTATGATGTATGGAACAGAATTGAGAATCAAGAGATGATCCCAGACACTTATTGTCATTTGATCTTTGATAAGCCTATCAAAAATATAAATTGGGGGAAAGAGTCACTATTTAACAAATGGTGCTGGGAGAACTGGCTGGCGACTTGTAGAAGACTGAAACTGGACCCACACCTTTCACCATTAACAAAATTGACTCTCATTGGATAAAAGATTTAAACTTAAGACATGAAACTATAAAGATTCTTGGAGAGAGTGCAGGGGAAACACTTGAAGAAACTGGCCTGGGAGAATACTTTATGAGGAGAAACCCTGGGCAATTGAAGCAACACCAGCAATACATTACTGGGATCTGATCAAACTAAAAAGCTTCTACACAGCCAAGAACACAGTAAGTAAAGCAAACAATCCTCAGAATGGGAGAGGATATTTGCAGGTTATGTTTCTGACAAAGGTTTGATAACCAGAATCCACAGAGAACTCAAACTTATTAATAAGAAAAGAACAAGTAATCCCATTTCATTGTGGGCAAGGGACTTGAACAGAAGCTTCTCTGAAGAAGATAGGCACATGGCCTACAGACACATGCAAAAATGCTCATCATCTTTAATCATCAGAGAAATGCAAATCAAAACCACTTTGAGATATCATCTAATTCCAGTAATAGTGGCTCACATAACAAAATCCCAAAACTACAGATGTTGGCATGGATGTGGATGCAAGTTCATATGTCCCTTTTGTTTTTTTTTAATTTATTATTATTTTTTATTAAATCATAACTTTGTACATTGATGCATTTATGGGTCCAGGGTACTGCTAATATACCCCTTTTGGAAAGAAGTATGAAGAATACTCAGGGATCTAAAAGTAGACTTGCCATTCGATCCTGCAATTCCTCTACTAGGAGTATATCCAAAAGACCAAAAATCACTTTATAACAAAGATATTTGCACCATATTGTTCATTGCAGCTCACTCAATTCATAATAGCCAAGTCATGGAAGAAGTCCAAGTGCCCATCGACCCATGAATGGATTGATAAATTGTGGTATATGTATACCATGGAATATTATGCAGCCTTAAAAAAGATGGAGACTTTACCTCTTTTATGTTTATATGGATAGAACTGGAACATATCCTACTTAGTAAAGTATCTCCAGAATGGAGGAAAAAGTATCCAATGTACTCAGTACTATTATGAAATCAATTTACAATCACTCACGCTTTCATATGTAGATCACAACTATGGACCAAGATGAAGGGGGGGATGGGAGGGCAGGGGAGAGGTCAGATGGAGGGAGGGTGAATGGTGGGATTACACCCATGGTGCATGCTGCAAGGTACATGTCAGATCTATTAAGTATAAAGTATAAATGTCTTACCACAATAATTAAATAAATGAGATGAGGGATATATTAACCAGTATGATGTAAGCATTCCAAATTGTATATGAAATCAGCACATTGTACCCCATAAATGCATTAATGTATACATGATCTATCTCTTTATGATTTAATAAAATAAATAAAAAAATAAAAATAACTTGGCATTGT